GGAAGGGCTCTTCAGCAGGTCCCATTTTGAGGCTCCCCATAATCCATAATTAAGGACTATAGTTTTTAGGGGTTTATATTGGGGTCCCCTAATTTTGGGGAACATAGAATTCCATGCAAGGAGGATGTGCCGCCCTTGGAGCCTCTCGAAGCCGAAGAGACTCGAAAGTCTGCTGGCAGCTTGCTCTCAACTCTGAAGCTTTAAACTTACTGGGGATTTGTAGGGAACAAGGGAAGATAAAATTTGGGGTTGTATAGGGATGAATTCCATCATTCCGATCATTCCCTACTAAGAACCAGGAAGAACAACAAAACAAGAAGTCTGAGCAATTAGTTCTGCCCTGAGGGCTTTCGGATGATCCGAAGGCCTTGGAGAGTGCATGCTCCTGAAAAATACAACAGGATGTTTGTTGGTTGGGGGGTGCGATGGGGAGGCTGATGATTGGGTGGAAAGGGGTGGTTTTGTCCTCATCCCATGAAAATTGGTCCAAGAAGCAGTTAATTGTAGGGACTGACTCTAGGGGATGGTGTCAGGCTGTTGGGCCTAGTCAGGCTTAGAAGGGTGTCACAATTTCATGTTCCTTGCAAAGCTACCGAGGATTCCGGCGATAGGCAGATAGGCATCCGATCAAGGAATTCTTTTTTGTTTTGGGGAGGGAGGGGGGGTGTTTGTGGCCACGCTTTGACTTCGGTTCAAGCAGTTAGCTCTAAAATAGGTCTGAAGACTCACGTTGGTTCTCAACATTTCAGCTCCACATATTTGCACTACAATGCGCCCAGGTTCTCCTCAACGGCCTTCTGATCCGCAGGCCTTTGCAACACAGCCCAACGCCAGGCACACTTGCGGCACATATGTCCCAGCAGGGATACCTGTCAATTTTTGTTGCCTTTCAAATCGGATTTTCGACAGGTGTTCAAGGGATTACGAACATTATGTGTTCGATCCTCGGATCTTTGCAAAAGTGTCGACACCGACCAGGATAGAGCCGGCTGGGGTCTTGTCCTGGAGTTTGTTTCTGTCGTGCCTTCTGTGTCGCCTCTTGCTGCCTCATCTTCATGCTCATGTCCACATTCAGAAAAATTCAGTTCGTGGCTCCTATGAGACGTTGTTTGTTGCCAACCTTGTTGGCTTGCCCAGCGCAGTCCACTAGTTACAGGGAGCGCTGCAAAACATAGCGCGGTGCACATGTATGCTTTGACTCGTCTTTGTCAGCTTCGAAGGAGCGCCAGTGCCATGCCCCCCTTGCAGTCCATTGGGCAGGCGCGTTTTACCGAGTTGCACTCTGTAGCAGGCCAATATTCCGGCAACACGTGAGCAGTAAAGGCAAGTGCCGTGATTTTGGATGCTTAGCCACAATTTCTTCTTCTGGACAGTGATGGTCACAGGAGGAGGAGCACTTATGTTTAGGATGACTGGCAAAAAAAACATGGTTCCACAGCAAATCGGACAGATGATGGTGATTGTAATGCACCCAGCAAACCATGCTGGCTGCATGCACAACATTGTAATTAGCTAAGATGCCGCCAACAATGCAGGGAGGTGATAAACAGGGTTATATGGCGGTTGTCTACTGGGTTGCAGGTAAGGCACTTAAGTTAAGTTACCATAATGGGTATACAAAGTATTTAATTCATCCAAAGCACTTCGTATTTGCTGGGATTTTTTCTGAGGCTCCTGCAGTGTCAGCTTCTCAGCGCTCTGTGCAAGTGCAAAAAGCAGATGCCGGCACCTGCTACACGTATGCTGTGAGAGCCAATACTTTCTTCTATGAAAGACACCTAGCACCTAGAAACATGGCAATACTCAACCCTTCTTGGGGACTGAGCGAACCTGTGATGCAAGGTAAGGTCGCGGAAACAGAGTCATTTGACAGAGCCAGGACCGAGCATCCTCGCTGTCAGCTTTGTTCTAGTCACGTGTGCTGGACAAGACCTAAATGCAGGGCTCATTATGTAGTACAGTAGCAACAGAAGTACACGTTCTTTTACTTTGTTGCTTAGCATCCTTGATATGCAAGTGTGTCTGATTTTTTCAATGAGCTAGTCACATCCAAGGAGTAGGCATTTGTTCCGAGGTCAGCAGCTCCGTCAGGCAAGGGTGCTGCAGTCCAAACCTCAAGAATGGAAAAGCACGTGGAATACCTCAGAGCAGTACCTCCAAAAATGCTTAAAGGTAGAAAGGGTAGCGTTATGTCATGGCGCTGTATATTGAGGGGAATGCTCTCTTTGCAGAACCGAAGAAGGTGACACATAAGAGATATGACAAGCAGAGCTCTTCGCAGAGCCGAAATCGGATCATTACTCCAAGATATGCAGTTGCAAGAGCATGACAATGACGGGAAGCCCAGAAGGCTGCCAGCAGTTCTGATCGAAGGCTAGCGCCGTGGGCAAAACCATGCCTTGCAATACTCTGTGTTGTGCAGGGAGAGGCATCCAGATTTCCCCGATTTGCTTGGGGTACTGTAGTACTCTAGTAGCCTGTATTGAACCCTCCAAAAAAAGATGGCAGTTTCCATTTTCTCCGCCATTTCGTCATGACTTCTCACAGCCAGCAATGCTGAGGCCGTGCTGGAGTCGCTGAAGCCCTGCTCTGAGCGTTCAACAGCAGAATCATGGAGCAAAAGAAGAGTATGTTGTAGTGGAGCCAAATCATTCTGCGGCGAATGCTCAGAGTCCAGTTTTTGGCCCCTTGTTGTACAGGCTAATGATGGTGAAGAGTTTGTCTAATGGAACCTCTTAGCCTGACGCTTTCTTGCCGCGGGCAGGGTGGCCTTGAGTAGCTGCAACGTGTCGGAGATTGACAGTGCCTTGAAGCTGGGCAACTCAGGCAAGCTCTTCAAGTAGAATTTAGTAAGTAGGATGGGGATGCCGACATGCACAGAAGCCTTGCCATTGTCTTTACGCCTTTCATGCTACAGACTGCCCGCTTTCATCGACAGCATCATAGTCAGAAGTCTTGCTGAGGAGGCTACTTTACAGGTACAGTAGAGGTTCAAGATGAGTTCAGTCATCTTATATCATGGGAAGGAAGGCATTGAATGATCCTGGATCAGACTACTACCACCCTGTCAGACGTGGACTGGAACGACAAGCTACTGGAGAAGAACGCGATCATGAAGAATCTGCTGGCAAAGAGGCCAGTTCAGAGTTGACCTTAATGTCCCGAGATGTAGCAAGTGAAAGAAGGTAACTGGGATTATGAACGTGTGCAAGAGATGGGTTGGACGGCATTGACATCTGATTCTCCATGGCTAGGCGCTGTCAAGAAAGAGCTGACGAGCTCTGACCATCCGAGGTTGATTTCTCTTCAGCTAAGTTGCTGGGAGGACGCACCATGGCTGGCCCTTCACCCCAACCTCAGGATGAAAAGTATCCCATTCAAAAACAGGACATGCCTGAGGTTGCTACATTATCCTTGCGATGCCATCACTCAGCCTATTTAGTAGCCATCTTTCTTGCACAGTGCTGATGCGCAGACCCGAATCCTAAGCCTATGGGGAGACCTGGCAAGACAAGCTGCACGCAGGGCCAAGCTGGTAGAGACAGCTTCCAAGAAAGAGGCGACGGCTGCTTTTGGTGTTACGGTGACACTTAGTGGATTCAGGAATTGGTCTCGGATTTTGGATTGTGGTGACATTTGCACATTGCCCTGAGTGTAATCCGGATCCTTTCTCGCTTATTTCAGGACAGAATAGTGTGGCAAACTCCCATCTAGGACCTAGGAGATTCCAACAATTTGAAGTTTGCGTCTTGGGGTGGACCTCGTGCTGATTTGTGCTTCTGGCTTTCCGTGCAGGTCACCAGTGCTACCAGCGAGCCTCGCGAGAAGAAATGTGTTTTGGAGTCCTGGTGCGAGGATCCTGGGCATGGGGGTCTTGGGGTTCAATTCAATATTTTTGTGGGTGGGGGTTAAAGAAATGAGGCCTCCCTCAAACATGGTTGCCTATAAAAGGATTTCTGTACATTGGGCTTTATAAGCCACCTATAAGTAGCGGAACCTGACTTGAGACTCGCATGGGGGTTGACTGCTTACTGCTGCAACCCTGAAGTAAAATCGAGAGAGAACGGTGCGAGTCTTCCGTGGTACCACCACTCCTCAACCCCAAGGCCACTAAACCCCTCCAAGCACTTCACCTTCAACATCCCATACTCTCTCCCTAAACATCCCTAAATACCCCTATTCTCTCTCCTGGGAAACTGAGCTCCAGGAGCTTCAGCTGCCACCCGAGCTCCTCTCTCGCCTCCAAGCAGAGGAAGTTACCGAGCCCCAGGAGCTATGAGCTGTTTCCTGAGAAGTTGTTTTTTTTAGACTTTAGGTATCTCCGAGAAGGGCTTAATGTGGGGAGTTGTTGCCCTTGTGTTAGAAAGGCTCTAAGGTCAGGGGCCTGAAGTATGCAGAATGCTTTCGGCTGAACATGCTATTCTGAGCGCATGCATATTTCGGTTACGGAAAGCGTTTCCATGAGGGGGGAAGGGGGATGCACATGGCAGACTGTTCTGGCAGGTGTCCCTGTCAAGTGCCTTCTTCAGATTCCATACCTTTTGATTGCAGCCTCCCACCGCTTTTCCGTCAAGCAGATCCCATAATTACTTAGCAACAACACATGTATGTGTTCTCATCTTCGTCCATGGTTTTAAAAGGGGGGCCCAGATGCCTAGTGGGAAATGGGGTCTTGGATTTCTCTGGGAGCCTCCGTTAGATCTAAAGTGCTCCTTACAAGAATCTCTACTTCCCAGCTACCTGCTTAGGAACTCGGGATTGTGAAGGGAAGGCGGTTGCCTCAGATGTTTGGCATTATGTTTGGGATCCTCCCAATCATAGCCTTGCTCTTCTGGTCCAACTTCTGGTTGTAATTCCAGCGTGCCGTTGAGGGCCAGGCTATATGGCAAAATCACCCCGGCAATCTGTCAGCCTGGTGCCACACCCCTCAGGTAGTCCTTTCAGTCCCTGGAGTCAATCCCCATCTAGCTACTAAGCGCCAAACAGTTTCCATAAATGGGGGGCGGATCCAATTGGGGAAACTACCAAGCTTTATCTAGCAGCTCCAGGAACTCACAGGCGTCTCAGAGCAGGAATTGTCTGCCTTGACCGATGGCCTCAAGATCGGGCCTAAGGGCCGTTTCATGAAAGCGGTGCAAAGGACCTGGGACAGCTCCAAGAGGGTTAAAAAGGCTCCCTGAAACAGAATATGGGGTTTATGAGTATCTTAGCATGATATTGGCCGACTCCATAGTCTATCCACGTAAGAGCGACTCGTGGGCGACTCCTAGAATAACAGAAGATGACGTGGGATTGGTGTCCAAATGCGATTCTTGTGGTATCCCCCGGAACTTTGATGTCGGAACAGTGGCACGGGGAGAGCAAGGGAAAGCCGTATGTCGAAGTGGGCATTTGTCGTCATTTGGGTTCGTTTCTTCTGGGATTCAAAAAGTCAGGTCCACTTAGAAAATATCTTGACAAGTATTAATAGTCGAACCCCAATAAGCTCTGGAGCAGTCGTTGTGAGCATGGCACGTGGACATTAATTCGAAAGCTGCACCCCGAATCACCTATGTATTTCCTGTTGGGGTACTTCAGTGCAATCCCTTAATTAAAAAGAAAACATAAGAAACTTCAAAAGGAACTACAGGCAGCCCAAAAGAAATTACAGAGGAGCCCTCAACCCAAACCCTAGATATTTCTATATCATATATCTCCAGATACCCTCTCTATCACCCCTATCCCTTGAGCCCCTGAGTATGTTCCTGAGTCTAAGGTTCTAACAAATCTGAAGATGGGCCCTTATGCGTCGTAACTACGGGCCCTTAAGTGGGTTGTAGGGATATTACCCTTCACACTAAAATGAAAAACCTTCCCAGCCCTGCCGGAGCTGAACCCCTTCCTCCCCTTCTTTCACCCCCCGAACCCCCCCAACACGCGCTGGGGACCCTTGTTACCCAAGTGCAAGGGATTGGGTAGCTCCATGAGCAGAGGTGCTTGAGCCAAAATGCTTGGGCGTGTAATTGAGGGTTTGGGGTGATACCAGACATCCCCTTAGGACAAAACCAAGCCCTAAACCCCAAACAGAAGTATTTCAAGGACCCCAAAACCCTAAACCCTGAACCTAAAGCCCCCAAATTCACCTTAGATCCACAAAAATCACCGGCAGGATGAAGGCGATGGAAGCAGCAGAGCTGCGGAGTACCGCCTCCTTGGACTGAGCCGATTCATCCCCTCCACCACAGAAGCGTCGGGTTTCCCCAAAAGAAATTACATCAGGATAATGAAAATAAAATGGAAACTACTATAGTCTATACTATAATAAATGATGCCTTTCTGGGGGTAAATATACGAAGGAAGATGATACATTGGGGTCTATTTGGGGGGTAGCCTACTTACGAGATTGACAAGCTCTCTCCCCTTTCCTTTTGTCGGGATTAGGGCTCAGGGCACAACCCCCAAGAATGGAGGAGCAAATGGAGAATGCAAGCGGTTCGTAGAGATACGCTGCAGCTCTCCCCAGTTGGTTCGTGAAAACAGGCATATGAAGTAGGGTTTCGGTATGTCGAGAAAGGGGGCGCTGGTCGAGGGGCTGCAGAAACAACAGTAGCTCAGAATAAGACAGTGGAACACAGACAGGCAGTCATGTTGCAAAGGAGCCGTTTGTTTGATGTTCTCCAGCTAGATGAAACTTCCGGAGCGCGTTAGGAGACTTCTGATACAACCGCTACGAGTGCCATGATGCCTTGGCTAGTTTATGGTAGTCATGCTGCGATGCCCCTGCTACATAGAGCCAGAGCTATATCCTCATAGCATTCTGGGCACAGCCCCTTGCTCTACCACGTTGGGGCAAGCACATACTGTAAGTGCCATTGTCAGCCTAGGCTCCTTTTTGCCTTCTGAGAGCCTTAGAAGCAGACCTCCAAGTCTTTTAAGCTGGTGACTCCTGTGGGGAGAACCCCTCGAGACAAAGTGCGAGCGCTGGCACAAAGTGGTGACGAGTTTCCGTTTAGTAGAAATCTGGCTTTGTAGCAAGGCTTGCAGGACCTCCCTTTGGCTTCAGGCATCATGAAATCCGTTCTAGGTAAGAGGTATCTACATCTCTCAGTTGCGTATGTGAATGCTATGGGCTTCCCTAAGACCTTGCTATGGTCTCGAAGCTGTGAGGCTGTTGCGAGGGAAGCTCAGTTCTCGACTGCGCGAGACTCGTACACAGAAGCTACCAGATCAGATTAATCAGGCGTTCAGTTGACGTTTTTCCGATCGCAAACTCCAAGGTCAGCCCTCTTTGAGCTTGAGCTTGCCGGGGGTTCATCATGTTGACCTGGTGGCCTCAAACCTCTTCCCCTCCAGCAAGGAGTCTTTGAATCCCTGACTCGTGCTCGTTTGATAAACCAACTTGATTTAGCTAGTGAAAAGCCACTCTGGACAAGGATTGTTCAAACCACTTGTCCCTCCCGTTTGATTAAACGTTTCCTCCAATTGAGGTAAAGGCTTCCAAGTAATTGACTTTCACTGAAGACAGAGGTGTGCACTCCCTGGCTGAGGCTCTCGGCAAGCCCAGGCTGCGTATGGCCCATGCCCGGAGGATCCTAAGTCCTGTATAACTCCTTCAGGAGGGTTATATCGGGGATTACTAGGGTTCAGAGTTTAGGGTTTAGGGGTCTACACGTCCTTGCGTGTCCTTGAGTCACTGCCCTCAGGCACGTTTTGGCTAGTCATCACTGGCCACGACACTTGGCAAGTGCCAGGTGAAGCCCTGCAGTTCAACCGCTCTTTCCAAATAAATCTGTAGAAAACTTTGAGCTCGGCATAAAGATCGACCTGTAGTTTCTTGAAGCATTCTGCCCCACGCCAAGGCAAGGGTTGGAAATTTGCAAGAGCAGGAATGCATCCCTAGAGAGTACATCCCACATTACAGACATGTATCTGAAATTGCCCCTAAACCCTAAACCCTATAACAGTCATCTCTATTGAAATTGCCATCAGCAAGCTGACCGGCGCTGCGAGGCCGCTCGCATCGGCTCGAAGAGAACAGGAGCGCCGGCAAAGGATGTAAAAAAAGATTTGCCTCAACAATAGTAGTTTCCATTTTCTTTTCCATTATCCCTATATATCCCCATATACCCGCTGTACTCTTATATAACCCTTATAAGGGTCTACATCAGGGTTCAAAAGGAAATTCCGTTGCAAGTAAGGAAGCACTGGATTGTCATGCATTACAGTACATAGCCTGTGTTCAGGCTTGGCGAACAGAGAAATTCACCGCATGCATGTGAGCTTTGCAGAGTCATAGTTTCCGCAAACAAAAAATTGTCACCACCCCACGGGGATGATTTTATATAGCGGAATAATGATTGCTGCATGAATGCAACAGTCAATATAAGACCTTTCGCATTGCGCAGAAACAGGATGAGCACAAGATACGCCCTGCCTCTCCATATAAACAAATATTACGAAAATGTTCACGTTGCAATTATAATTTGCTTGATTAAAGTTTTGCTGAAAAACGATCAATATTTTGTATAGGAACGTGATTTTGTTGGCCTGGGCGCTGCGGACGTCAGGACCCCAGCAAGTCCGTCCCCTGAACAAAGGGACCCGCATCGCCATAAACATTGATTGGCATTTTCATATTATGTTGGCTAGGATGGGATGGCTCAGCTGCTGCCATCCTGCCACTTTGTTTCCTTGACCGTATGGTTGCAAGTTGACGTTCCTGGACCACCTCTGGAGAAAATATACGGGCGTGAGGACCCTTCCTTTGTCTGCTGATCTCAGGTGTGCCTTGAGCTTATCTTGTGATGGATGGAGATGTTTACCGAGCACTGGATGTGGCAGACATCGCTTGCTGTTGACCGGACATGTATCTTGGCTCAAAGTTGGCTGTAGCTCACGAAGGAAGGAGGCTTTCAAGATGATAACTACTTTGGTTACCTTCCTCTTGCTCCTGGTAGAGGCTGGCGCGTCTCAAACAGTCTGTGTGACAGGAGCAGGGGGCTACGTGGCGACAGAGCTGGTGAAGCAGCTGCTTGAGAATGGTTTTCACGTCAAGGGAACAGTGAGATCCCTGAAGCAAAAAGACAAGTATGCCCACCTGGAGAAATTGGACGCGGCCCTTCCAGGCACCCTTAAACTCCTTGAGGCCGATTTGCTTAAGCCCAACTCCTTCGATGCCTGCGCCGAAGGCTCCAAGTATGTCTTCCACACCGCCTCGCCGTTCCACTTCGAAGCCGCGAACACTTTGAAGGATATGATCGAGCCTGCACGCAATGGTACGGAGAACGTCTTGAAGTCTGCTATCAAGGCCAAAGCGGAGCGCGTTATTGTAACGAGCTCTTTTGCTGCGTCCAACTCCTTTCTGCCAGACGACAAGCCAGACTCTGGGACTCTCTACTCAGAGGAGGACTGGAACGATTTCATCGATGAGTCCGTGTGGAAAGACAACAAGCAGCAGGCCTACATCGCAAGCAAGTCCCTCGCAGAGCGGAAAGCATGGGAACTTGGCAAGAGTCATGGAATTGACGTGGTTGTCATTCAGCCGGTGCTCGTCATGGGACCTGTGCATGCTCCAAGGGTCGAAGGCGTGTCAGTTGGCACCATGAAGAGCATCATCGAAGGATCACCATTGCCATTTGCCTTCCCTTGGTGTGATAATCGTGATGTTGCCAAGGCACACATCCAGGCAGCAGTGAATCCAACAGCCTCTGGCCGATACATTGTGGCACAGCCCAACACAATTCCACACTCCTACGTCTACGAGGTCCTGTCCAAGGGGCTGCCACAATTCGCTTGGGCAAAGCCGGAGAAGGAGGAAGCCCAGAACCCCATGATCGACAATGCAAAGATCAAGGGCTTGATTGGGGGCTCCTCTGTTATGGCTGAGACATGTCTGACATTTCCCAAAACTATACAACAAAAAATAGAGCTTCGAAATTGAACTTTTCCCTACAGTAGCCAGGCTTGTACCCGCTGGAGAGCACGATTCTGGACATGGCGAGGTGGGAGCTTTTCAAGAATCCTCAGACATGGCCATGGCTCCCCTCAAATGTGCTGGATCTCCCCAAAAATTCCCAAAATCTTCGGAGCCAGGTCTCTGATCTCCGCCAACCTCGCCACGCCTAAGCTGAACCCCAAGACCGAACTCTGAGATGGAACGTGCGGATATGTTCAGCTCATTTTTGAGGAGGACCCCAAGTGATGCGAAAGCAACCCTTGGAGGGTGTCTTGTTCAGAGAGCTGCCTCTGCGAAACAGAGGAGCTATGCCGAGTTTTCGCCCGTCAGAGGTTGCTCTGGCTTTGGCCTCATGCACAGATACGAAAGTCTGCAAAACCCCAATTACCTTGCACCTTGGGAGTTCTGGTAGCGCAGTATGCATCATGCAGATTGTTAGAACCATTACCCGGCCAAAGGACGGTGTTGGTCTGCAAGGTGAGGCTTCGAGGATTTGCAGCGTGAGAGAAAGATTCTCGAGATGTGTTGAGCTCATCTATACTCGCATTCGAGCCTGAAAAAGGTGGCTCGCGACATCGAGGGGGTAGTGCACTTAACTTCTCCTACCAAGCCGACTGGCTTGGATTATCCACAACAAGAGGCGAGACTTCATTTTCCTCACCCTGGCTCAGGTCCGGTGCACGCTCAACATCACCAAACTTGCCTGGGGGCCAAGGACTGCGCAACATAATTTGTAATGCCGGTTTTGGGTGACATTAAGTTGAGACTTCAGGGGTCCATACTGACACGCTGCGAAGTATGAGGCAAGCAAGCTTGTACAGATGCACTATTGTACGGCTTGCATATGAATATGGGTATGCTGATTTAGGTTCTGCGGGGCTTATGGAGATAGGGGTGATCATAATTCATGGGCAGATTCAGGTCTTACATGCACCTCGAACATCAAGCTTCCCTCACTCAGCACATTACCAGTGCTGCCGACTGCTGCCGATTTTCCGTTACGCCGTTACACTCTGCTGGTGTTGCTTTGCAATTGTAGGCGGGAGCTGACTGACATGGGGCCATCAGCCCAAGGCACATGGTGGGAAGCGTCACTGGCAGGGTCTAGGCGCTCAGCTGCTGCACATCTGCATGAGGATGCACTGGGATCCCCAAAGTCGGAACGATGAAGATGTGTGCATGTTATAGGCTAGGTGCCTTCAGCAGCATGCAAGCATGCTTTTGATTTTGAGAGCTTGCCCCGCAGATTTCCCCAAGCCCAAAGAAAGCCGTAGACCGTAGCTCAAAGCCTTAGGCGTTTAGACTTAGACCACGTTCAGCATGGCTGTAAACCGGATGCAAGAGGCAGAGGAAGGCCAGCTGTTGTGGTCGGAGGTCGGCTCCAGCGACTTCTTACAATTCGATTTTGGAGGGTCGGCCTATGAGGATGAGCTGAAGAAGAATCAGGCAAGGGCGAAAAACTTATCCGCCATCAAATGTATGGTGAAGACTCTTACGCCATCAGGGGGTCCGACTGAGGACTCCCCAGGCTTGCGGGTGATGTGGATGGAACATGATTTCAAGTTCTTTGGAGGCTCCCTTGGCTGTGCCGAGGGCGAGAAGCTCACACGGGGATTCGAGTATGCCAAGCAGCATGGTCTGCCAGTGGTGGTGAAATGCGCAAGTGGTGGAGCAAGGATGCATGAAGGCACTTTGTCTTTGATGCAGATGGCCAAGATTTCTTGTGCTGTCTCTGCTTTGAGCTCCGCTGGCCTGCCATTCATCACTTTGCTTGTGGACCCGTGCTACGGAGGTGTTAGTGCTTCCTATGCGATGCAGGCTGACGTTCGCATTGGGGCGGAGAGGGGCCGCTTGGGTTTTTCGGGACCGCAAGTGATTCTGAACACCCAGTTTGGTATGCATCAAAACTCTTACGATCGTGAGTGTCCAGATGATTTTCAGAGCAATGAGTTCGGCATGCGCCATGGCATTGTGGACATGGTGGTGCCTCCAGCGGAGATGGAGTCCGTTGCTTGGCAGGTGCTGTCGGTCCTGGCAGCCAAGCCGCAGCGTGTTCTCCCTCCTCCTGGGGCGATTACGCAGTTCCCGTCTGGAAATCCTGTCTATGTGAACTCACGTCTCCTTAGCCGCTACGACTCCTCAGACATTATCAAGGAGCTTGCGACTCGCTTCGTCGACCTTGGAGGTGACGGTAAGGGCCCCAACGGCCTTGACAAGTGCTTGCGCTGTGGTCTTGCAACCCTGCAGAGTGGCCGCCGTGTGGTGGTCATGCGATGCTGCAAGGGTCACACTCCAACAGATCGTGAGCATTTCAACCATGCGATGCCCGCACCCTCTGGCTACCGAACCGCCCTGAGGTTCTTCGACCTTGCTGAGCGCTTCAACTTGCCAGTGGTCGCTTGCACAGCATTTCCCTAAACCCTACTTCAACCCTCAACCTACAAACCTTCAGCCCAGAGCCATTCTGAATTTTTTGCCATTTGAGTAGAGGTCACACTTGTGGACACCGTGGGAGCGTGGCCTTCCTTTGCCGCCGAGACGGCAGGGCAAAGTGAAGCCATCGCGACGAATCTGACCAAGACACAGGGCAGGTTTTCAGAGGGCTCAAGGCCTAGCTTCTGGAGGCAGGTGACGGGATTTCGGACATACAGGAATTCCCTTGAAGAACTTAGTTTTAGAGCGGGGGTTTGCGGAGTTATCATCTCAGACAGCCAATGCTCTTCGTTTAGGTGCGAAATTCTTTTGAGGCCGATAGCACAATCACTCAACTATGAGTGATGTTGTCGTCCACTGTTTGTTGCGGTGTTGTCGTACAGGCTCCTTTCATTGCTACCGCCTCACAGTGTCACAGTCTCCCATCACCTCCAACGGTCCAACGTTGACAGCCTAGGATGGGTGGGCTGAAGGTACCCATCGTGACCGTCATCGTTGGTGAGGGAGGCTCAGGAGGCGCCCTTGCCATTGCCATGGGCAACAAGATCGGAATGCTTTCCCAAGCCTACTATTCCACCATCACTCCAGAAGGGGCGGCTTCCATTTTGGGTAGATACAAGGATGATGACCATAAGAAGGTGCAATTTCCGGAGGATTGCTTGGCTTTGGCATCCAAGCAGAACATCTACGCTCCGCAGTTGAAGGAGCTGGGGGTCATCGATGAGGTGATTTGGGAGAAGGAGGGCGAGGACTGCAAGCCGGGCCCTTCCTTAGCCCTTCCTCGTACTGCAAGTCTACATTTTAAGCGTAAACCCTCAGCTGCAAATAGAGCTTAAGCCCTGAAGGACTGCAAGTCCTTCCCCGGGACGATGGGCAATATCAGTGCCTTTGTGGAGGCCAGTCTCCAGGAGCCAATGCCAAAACCCCGCACCCAATACCGTGCCAGCTGCGACATGCCAATACACCTTGAACCCCAGAAATCGAAACCCAACCGCAAAATGTCTGCCAGGAGCTCTCCGGGATGGACTCAGCGAAGCTGGTGGAGCAGCGTTATCAGAAGTTCCGGAGCATGGGCAAATTCAAGGAGTACAGCCCGGAAGAAAGGGAGGCGCTCACGTCAGCTCCTGTGGAGGAGACTTCAGTGTTACATGTTCGTTTTCTTTAGATGTTTCGGGGCTTGAAGAGATCAGCGCCTGAACAAGTCCAGAAGCAAAAAAAAAGGGCTCATCTCTTTTGAGGTCCCCGACGTTGACCAAACAATACATGTTTTGCTGTAGCACGCTCGAATCCAGGAGAAGGCCAAGAGGCAGCGTGTCGTGCCGACGCCGCCCAAGATCCTGACCTACTTGACGGAGAAAACTCTGAAGCTCGGATCTTGAAAGTCAAGCCTGCTTTTAAATCTGCTTGGCAAGGTTTTCTTTTAGTTTCTGCAGAAGTTATTATGCCGTAAGAACCCTTACATACACCCATAATCACCCCGATGCAGCGCAATAGTCGTTTTTCTAACCCCAGGAAGGGTGCACATTCCTTCCTCAAGGGGAAGGGTCCCGCCGACTGCCCCCGTCATTGCTTCCTCAAGGCGCCTCGGTGTCAAGAGGGTTTACCAACCTGCTCCTTTGTAGATTTGTTGGGCTTTGTTCAGGTTTTCGGTCCCGGATTATAGTAGACAAGCCCAAAGGAAGGAACTACCTAGGACCTAGGAGGTTCTGGGAAGGTTAGTGGCTTGAGAACAAAATAGCGTTGGTTTCAGATTCCGAGATTCCGATGGACCTGCACTGCATTAGCTGGCTTTCATACTTGACCAGTCACTTTGACACAGAGGTACTCCTAAAAATCCCCGCCGTAAGCCTGATCTGAGAACAACTCTACTTCCGCAATACCGCAATCTTCCGCATAGAGCGAGATTGCGGTTGCCGGCTTTATCAGGGAGAAGTTCCGGGAGAAGGTTTAAATCTGTAAACCTTGATTCCTCAAGCCAAGCCTTGCCTAATCCCTACTATCTACCCCTCCCTGTCTGGGAGGGTTATCCACGTGCCCCCTTCTGTTCAAAAGTTGGCCTTGTGATTTTAAGGTGGAGGTTGAGCCTGCGGCGAAGGCCGAGCGCAATGCCAAGCAGATCCTGGACGAGGAGGGTCCCGAAGCCATGGCCAGGCGCTTTGCTTTCTTTGGTTATAGTGGGGTAACATTAGGGTTACATTGGGCTTAGATGGGGATAACGTAAAAGAAGATGGAAACTACTATTTTATTCTGCAGGGTTTCGGGAAGTAGGGTTTAGGGTTTGGGGGATCATTTTAGGGGAGTTGTACTCTATTCTTTCAACTAACCAGTTGGATTTCAAGGTCTAGCATGTCGGAAGCTCGAGGGCTAGTTGAGATTCCGCCATTACATGCAGCCTGGATGGCCCAAAAACCTTCAAACAGACTTTTGGGTATTTTTCTTGGAAACCTCCATTTCAGGTGGGTTCGGGCCACCTCCAAGGAGCGAATCCTGCTCCGCGGTTGAAAATTGGTAGGCTTTTTCTTCGTAACTTGGGAATGGGGACTGGGAGCCTTACAGGAATTAGTACTTCCGTATATACACGCCTCTTAAGTCGATGGCCCCTTCCCATTCCCAACCAAGTGTGGTTAAGGTGTTAAGTCTTGGGGTTCGGTCGACCTTCGTGTGGCGAAAAAATGGGTACATTCCCAAAGGCCCATTGGGATTGAAACCCTTGCGAAAAGGAAGATAGACTACATAGGTTTAGGATTATTTCATTCCAGTATTGATTGCCTCCCTGCTCCTTGCATAGTCGCCATATATTCAAGCTTTTGTATTTCTAGAAAGGGGAAAGCACACCCAAGCCTGAATCCTTGTGGCTACTGACTTCTCAAACCCCAGTCTCGAGCCTGACCACAAACCTTCAGTCCCAGAAGTATGAAGCAGGTTATAAGTCGGATGCTTTAAGGCTCACAGACACGACGCTACGTGACGCGCACCAGTCTCTTGTCGCCACGCGAATGAGGACTTTCATTACGATTTCCGGATTCGTAGCAGGTGTCCCTCCACTGGCGCCCTCCATTCGTTGTCTAGGTAATCTAGGCCAAAACCCGTTGGGGTGTAAAGGATTCAGGCCGGAAGAACACGGGTACTCTTTCATGCTGACGCGGTGATTTTGACCGGCTGGATTTTGAGCAATGGTGAGTGAGTACCTTTGTACAGAGCATTTCAGTTGGCCAAACTTGATAGTTTAGAAATTTGTTCGAGACTCCAGGACTGCGGACATGCTGAAAGCTGCGCCCGAGATGAGCAAGCACTTGCACCAATACTTCTCCTTGGAGTGCTGGGGCGGCGCCACCTTTGATGTCGCCTACCGCTTTCTGCATGAGGATATCCCATAGCAGTCTAAGAACCTACAGAAAGTAAAAGAACGGATCAATACCAGCCAATTGCTGCCTATTGGCTTGGCTGCCTTGCTTTCCATGCAGCGTTCAGAGTTCAGAGTCCAAGAAGTTTTAAAGACTCCCAAACTTGCGGTACTCCAGGGATGGCAGGTGCCCAGAGGAAATTTGCAACCGAAAATAGTGAGGAAGAAGGGAATCTTTTTCCCTCCTAAGCACCAGTACGTAAAAGTCCTTTGGCATGGTAAGGGCTTGGCCTTGGCTCAGGGAAGGCAAGTGCAGACATTGTGCGGGTGCTGTAGCAACATTCTCGGAGACACACGCATACGTATTTGTATGTAATTAAATCTAGAGAGTGCGACGGCGTGGAGGGCTGGTTTTCTCGAGTAAACGTGCCTTTTTTCTTC